CACAATTATTGCCGAAACACATCTTGTATTCACGATGTGGCTTTCTTGTTTTCTTGGTGCGTGTTGAAATTTATGATCGGCCATTTCACCTGGAGCTTTCTACACGATGCAAACAACAACTCTTTTGGTTTGTAAGGAGACTTCACATGTTTTTTGATCGAGCTGCCGTATTTAAGTTGTGGCATTTTACTAGGGGGTTTATACATACGTGAGATAATTCCCTAAGTAAGCCTTCGTCATTGCTACAGCTAGAGATTTGATCAGTTACGATTTAATTTCAGCAATCTTTTTATTGTCTAGTAAACAGTTTGTGAAGCCTTTTGTCCACCACTTACAATCCACAGCATATATCTTATTTTCTAATGTTCTGTCTGTTCTCTCTGAATATTTTTCACCTTCTTATGAGCCATCTTCTTTTGCGCCTTCCCTGTTTTGCTCGGAAGAGTGGCCGAAGTGCACTTAAGGAGGTGATTGTCGGTTTTGTAGAAAGCTTTTCAGCAAAGTAGGGATCGAACTCCTTCTTGTTTGATCCAACATTTTTATGTACAAGCATTTCGTTTTGCATTTCTCCCGGATACTGTTGGTATCTTTAGGGAATCCAGAAGATCAGTTTTGGTGGTACAATGCAACCCTTACCTTGGTTTCGTTCCATCATTACTGTTATTCATTCCCATGCTCGAATACTTGATGCAGTCATTCTTCGCCTTGTGTATCTTGAGACCGTTGGATACTATAAATCTGCGACCTGAGAACTGTACAATGCTGAGTTTATGTCCTGGTCACGGAAATGAGAAAGGATGCTCTACCATGAATAGATGGACATGACTTCATGGACTTTACTGTCATGGAAGATCAGCTGCAATATCCGATGACGTAACGGGAGTATCGCCTACTTGGTGATCTCTGCGCGAGAAGCCACTAATGTCCGTAGAGAATACAATGACCTGCACGAATTCGTCCTACTGCTAAATAAGGTCATCATTGTCATTTTCTTGTTTTGTAGGTAGCTCTTGACGGCGCAAGAGCTACAGATGCATCCTCAAGGAATAAAACCTAGGAATTCTAGAGGTATCACCTCATGCTATATTCCCAAGATTCTTTATGTATTGCTTCAAGATGCTAACTTATTCTCACATAGAGATAGGTCGCCTAGAATAACAAAATCCCTTCTATGACTACCTAGGGTGGCACGATATTTGCTTAATTTTAGAAAAATATCTATTCAACTGTTTTTAGAATTTCTATATCTTAAACTTCTTATTTTCACTGTGTTGGTACAGGTCTCGCTGTGGTTAATCGGAGAAATTCCGTGATCCGACGCGATCATCAAAGCTGTTCTTGCTGTGCGCCTCGCATATCTGACAGCAGACGAAACGTTTTGGCGCCATCTCTGAGCTTGTTCTCGCAGAGCCTCATCGCTATCGTTGTTGACACAACAAAAAATACGGTGGTGTACGCCCCTCCATCTTATGCCCAAATGATTGGCATTTCATGGGTACGTTTTTTCTCCAAATGAATCTGCTTTTCAGTTCAGCTTTGCGGTTTCTCTTCCCCGTCTTAAACAATGTTCATGGGGACATTAAAGATCATTCTTTGCAACGCGCTTTTCGTCACTGTGGTGGTCATCTTTCTTGCGCGCTGTGCTCGGTTGAATGTAACAACAAGAGATACTTCAATCCGCCCGTCATGTTTTAGACCCCAAATAACTTCAATGGTTCACATAACACAACCTTGTGACAGCCATTTGTCTTGCACCCTATCTCGGCGGTCTTTTGGTTAGTCCTCTGTATGAATTAATAGAGAGAAGTAAAGAACCGGACGCAACACCAGGAGAACGATACAGAACGCAGTTAAACTTGACTTAGGAAGCAACTGAGTGGACGCACCAGCGCCACTTTACGGCACTCAGTCATATCACTCATTTTCTCTAAATATCGGTTAGACCCAGCTGAGGAGCCTAACGCACACCATAGGTTCAAATTCCCTGGTCAGGGTTTTCATATCCACATATCATGTCTTATTCTGCCAGCGTGCAGTCCACGTGTGTAGACCTGATAGTTTGAGAAATATTTAGTATATGTATGCGCGTGTTTCGTGGTCAGATTATTCTGCTAATCTCTAAAATGGCTGTGTTATACGCTACCGTAATAAAATTCCTTTGTTATTGTGTATACTTGGATATACCAATCCAAACATGTTTGCTTACCGTCTCCGTGGTTTGATAAACCGCATATGAAATTCCATCAATTAAATTTGTAATGAACACATTTATATACTTTTTTCAGTCGTTCCTATGCAGGTAAAATAGGATGCATGCTTATGCATTAATGGTGGTTGAAACGTGATGAAGCTGAATAAAAATGAAGAATTCTTTAGGGACGAGAACAGCCTAAAATAATTAAAATTATGGAGAATAATTTGGTTCAGGACAGAGAAGAACTAGATAAATAAGAAAGACGTTTTTTAAAAAGGGGACCTGAGAGTTAAGGATATCACGGGATTTTTCTTTGGGAATATACACCGGAACCTCTGACTCAAGAATTTGAACTGAAGTCCAAATGCGGACAACTGTTTTCGAATGATTCATATTCGTGCCTGTACAAATCATATGAATCGTAAAAATTTGACTCACAGGACAGTGGGGCGTAGGTACAACTCGCCATCGTGATCGAAACGCGTTTGTATAACCAACGATCTCGTAGACAGGCCTAAACAGTAGTATTTCCTATTTACCGAGGTCTGATCAGTAATGATTCGTCCAACTTAATCCAAGAAAAATGTTATTGTTTGCGGATCTATGTGCATTATTTTAAATTCTTGTAGTCGGTTGATTAGAATTTTTCATATAGCTAATTGGCAGATTTGAAGTTTGTTAGTCGATTGTGGAAAGTGTAGTTAGAAAAAGTTCAGCTTAGAATTTGTTGGAAAATAGCATTTTCATTGCATGTTTTACTGTACGCATAATGGTCTAATGGTGTGCTATACTGATCGGCGTAAATACTTGCAAAACATGAAATGTTAAGTTCGATACTTTTCACACTCCCTTTGAACTCTTGACTATCATTCTTTTTTCACATAAATTCTTTCACTATCTGAATCGGGTGCTAAATTCATTGAGACAGGGATTATCCGCTTGAAACTTACCGTTGCGCGACGTTTCAGTCTCTGATGTTACTTCGACATATAAGTAGCTCAAATTTTTTTATTTTAACTTTAGGCTGACACGAAGTATGATTGTCTCTCGGTTGTCATCCAATGTTCTATTTGCCGCATTTTTGCAGAACACAATAATTGGGCTGCACCTGCATGAACTGCGTTCTAAGCAGTTCTCCTCCTCGATGTCAGCACAACTAATTCACTCTCAGATAACCAAAGCGCGCACACCGGATGCGACTCAACAGTCATCCGAATTCAGCAACAGCTCCGGCAGAGCCCGATCACAACACGAGGCTTCTCCAAACTCATTCAGTTCGGATGCTGGAACTAATACTACGGGGCCTGTGGATTCGGCTGCAATCGCGTCTTGTGATCCGCTCTCTCCCAACTTCCGATCCCGTTCACGAAGCCGCAAGCTATCTAACACTCCCAAGCGCCTCTCAAAAACTTCGCTGCAATTGATTCCACCACCGGCGTTCTATGCGGAATTATGGGCCCGTTCAGATACGGACACATCCTCATTTGCCACATTGACCACATTGCTTCCTCCTGGTCCGAATGTTGCTCAACTATTAGGCCATCTGTTGCTGGACGAGGCGGAATCTGTTGCCCCGGATAGCACTGGCTCTTCCGATGGTGGTGAACAATCTCAAACAGGTCAACTTCCAGCGACCACTCCTGTCCGTCAGTCGTTCAATGAAAGCTCTGAGCTGGTAAGTTTGCCTATTTATCTCCATATATATATATATATATATATATATACACTCGGCCCCAGATTCTTTTTATCGTCCAAACGCATAAATGTTGCCCCCTCCCTTAATAAAGTGTGTTACGTTAGGGCAGTTTTGAACATATTGGTTGTCGTCCATGCCATGGGGACCATAAAAAGTGTAGACGGATGAGAGGAACGAAACACTTTACTGCATTCTCCATACTTGCCGTCGATGTTTTTGAACTAAAAAATACAAAGTGGAATGCTATGTTCGCGTTGACCCATTCACTATGCTATGTGTACTACATACAGCACACGGTCCTTAGTGTGGGTGTCACCTCTTAGGAGTTCGTAAAATACGCATTGTTGAAGAAAAATCTGTCCAATACTATTTATGGGTCATCAAAAAGAATGGTAACGGTCTCCACATCTATATGGTTTTTCTTGCTTGAGTTCACGACAACAAGCGGTGTTCGTCAGGGTGGCTTTCCCTAGCTCCTTTTCTATTCCATTTTTTATTGAATCTGATTCTGGAAGCAGCCCTGCCCTCCTGCGAGGATAGCAGCATTACTTTGCTGTCAGGGGTATGCAGACGATATTGTACTGCCAAGTGAAGATCCGGTTAAGCTGCAAGCTTTTCTGGACGGTTTGAGTCCTAGTTTAGCCATGTTCGGTATGTGTTTTGCACCTTTAAAATGTAAAATGTTGCTGCTTCGTTATGATCGCACAGCGAAAGACAATGAAGCGAACTTCAGTGATTGTTCCCAAACTCGCAGTGCAGAGAGTATGTAAGATTTTCAGGAAGGGGGAAAGAAAGTGAACCTTCATGGTCAACGCATAGCACGCAGTCTGGCTGTGCATACATACATTTTCAAACATTCTGTCCTGGTAACAGGAATGGATTGGCCTGGCTACTGACATCTCTAACTGGAGGAGTAGTAGGGGAAATAAATAAGTTTCGCTACTTTGGCAGCTACATCTCACCTGGCGGATGCATCAGGGATAAAGTGTCGGCACGATTAACCCTTGCCAATTTGCGACATCTGTCGTGCCATCTCGACATCCGACTGTCTGAGAAGGGTGAAGTGTAAGCTGTAGTAGTTCATCTGGTGCTGCTTCAACATGCAGAGTTTTTGGTGATCGCGATCACCTATTTGGGGAAATGGTCCAGATCCATGGATTACGTTTGTTGGGACAGTTCGCGCATG